TCTGACAGTACAGGCTCTTGAGGCCAGAGTGGCTGAACTGGAGGAGCTAAGGGAGACAGAGACTTTAAAGGACACAATAGAGCAGTACCACCACCAGTCTGACAGCCTCTATGCTGTTAAAGAGGATGAAAGTCTCAGAGAAAGAGAACATCAAGCTGTAGCACAGGGCAACAATCCCATAGTTGGGACCTTCCTTCCAGAAGATGTCACATAGTATCCTCTCACACTGAGGATACTCCCCCTAGGGAGGGAACCCCAGTTACTAGGAAGAGCCAGGCAATAGTAATGGGTTTGTGACAATCAGGAGAACTGCATGGTAAATTGTCTGCTGGGTTCAAAGGCTGCAGATCTCACAAAACATCTAGACAGACTTATGTGCAGTGCTGGAGAGGAGTGGTCATGGTACATGTAGGTACCAAGACATAGGGAAAGATAAGAGAAAGGTTCTGAAAGCCAAATTTACAGTTAGGTAAGAGATTAAAGTCCAGGATATTCATGGTAGCATTTTCCGAAATGCTTCCAGTTCCACACACAGGGTCAGTTAACTAGGCAGAACTGCAGAGTTTTAATGCAGTGAAAGGGGCAGACTATGGTGTAGGGAGCAGGGTTTTAGGTTTATTAGAAACTGAGGAACCTTTTGGGAAAGGAGAAGCCTATGCAGGAAAGATGTATGTTTATATGTATATAAAATCATGTTCTGCCAAATACATAATAGAGCTTCATGGGAATTCAGTAAAATCAATGATTTACAGCCATGTCTTGCTTGGGGACCATTCTGGAGTAGAGTGGAGCAGGGGCTGGGCTTAAAATCAGACATGTAGCACCAGAGCATGAGGGGATATTGGCAGGGAAGAGGCAGGGGTGGGTCTATTAGAACTTACTAGCCTTCAGTACTTATTTCTGCCTTGGTTCAGAGTCCTCCCCAGGCTCATCAGTGGGGGCTTGCTCAGCTGTCTCCTCTAGGTGCTGAGTGACATGCTTTTCTTCCTCTGGGACTTCTGGGTTTCCACCACAGTCCCTACTGCCTCCTTACCCTGGCCCTCATTGGTATACCGATAGATGACGAGGCTGTTGGGGTCGAGGTGGGAGGGTCATTAGCCACTCCAGGCTCTGCACTGGGGACCTTAGATTCACCCAGTTCAGTTTATCATAGAATGGGCATGTCTGATCATCCCTCCCGGAGTGATTGTTTTGGTCTCCAGTACAGGTGCCTCAGGTGTTCCCGGCACTGGGACACAGTCCAACAAATGTCCAGCACCTGCAGCCTCTGTGAAGTTTCCCAGTATAAATGAAAGTTCCTGCAGCTCTGGGAGAAATCATGGAGGACAGTGTATTCCAACCACACATTGACCAGCACCCATGTGTGCTTGGTGAACTAGGCAGCTGCTCTCAGAACATGATCCATGTTCACCTGTATTGATCAAAAGAATGCAGTGGAAAACATGTTCTCAGTTGGTCAGCACAGTTTGCTACCCCCAGTGACAAGGGGCAGACCGGGATCTTTATAGACTGGATCACCAAGGGGTCACTGCATTGTAGAAGTGGGGCTGAAGAACTACTGAAATATGGCACCTGGTACTGCCCCGTAGGATGGATATGTGACTGTGCGAGTGTGTTGGCTTACATGCCCTGTATTCATCTTCAGACACAAGCTTCAGGGGGTCTAGCAGTGGGAAAGAGGGGGGTTATGGCACAACCATGAGCATGGACACGTGTACAGTTGTTAGTGTAGATGTACCTTAATTCACATTCCATCAGGAATAGGAATAGAGGGCCAGGTTAGCCTGGTTAGCATTTCCTGAGTTACAAACACAAAGGTCCAAGGTATATTTTTCTTTTAGATCACTAAAAGTCATTGGGCCTGACCCTGCAAGGGGCTCCACTCATGGAACTCTCACTGAAGGCAATGAATTAGGGCAAAACTGAAGTCCAGATACAAAGCACATGGAGGACTGGCCCCACAGCAATTAAGATCCACTTTAAGATCTATGATCACTCAAATCCTTTTATTCCCCATCCAAAACACTGAGTATATTTGATTCTTGCTGATTTTTATTGAAGAATTATTCCAGATGTAGAAGTTTGGGTTATCTCCAGGCTTTTGCCTTAATAGTTTATGCAACCTATTCCACATTTTCCATGTCTGGAATATTACTGAGTTGTTAGTGTTTAGATCCCTTATTGAAAAATATAGATAGGAGCCAGTATCCTCAGTCTTTGTTGGCTGCTTTTCCATCACAAACCAGGGCATCTGATTTGAAACATTACCCCACACAACTTACACTGACAAGCAGTTTGGTGTAACCTTAAAATAGGCAGCCTGAGTCCTCCATTCTATGCTTCCTGGTGACTCCACAGGAAAACTCATACAATTTTCTCAAGTTGCTCAATGCATGTTGCTGGAATTGGCATCATCTGGAATAAATAATGTCACTGAGGAGCTGTAATCATTTTGTAACACTTATTCAACCCCAAAGACCAGGACTTGGTAAACTCCATCCACCTCATTAACTCTTGCATTTTGGAAAGCTGGGTCCAGTTTGTTCCTGCATCATTGATACAGGATTTTAAAATCAGCAGGAAAGGGGTTTAGTTTTTTGGTGTTTTATTACTTTTTTTAAGCCATTATACTCAATATGTCAGAATGATTTGATAGTGGCGAGTAAGAGTTCCAGGGCTCTGCAAAAAGTATAGGAGAACAGCCATATGGTTCCCCTGTGTAAGATCAGAAGGGGAGGCCACTGCCCACTTGTAAGGATTTTAGCCAGAGAGTGGAGGGGGGGGGGGGTAGTCACTTTGAAATTGGTATCTAATTCAAATTCTTTGAGTCAGAATCAACTCTGGTCGGTTATACTTTAGGAAGATGATCTTCAAAAAGAAGAACTTTGGATGGGTGCTCTTTTATCGTTAAGTAATAAACATCTAAATAAATACATCTTTATCTTTTTGCAATTCAGAGCTACATCAGTATTTCCAAAAGTTGTTAATTTCACTTGTTCCTTAGATAAATAGTTCCTGTTAGCCTTTAAAACCCTGGTCAGTCTTCAGTTACATCAAGTGCCAAAAGCTATGTGGATAGGTTTGGGATACATTGACCTCTGTAATTCATTAATCCTGCTACTACCTGTGTAAGGCACTTATTGCTAGTTTCTTCATAAGGCTCTCAAAGTTATGGCCCCCTGGTAGGTAGCACCCACTGTACAGAAAAGGATGCCAGCGCCAGGCAGTTAAGAACCCTGAGAAGCTCCTCTAGTTAAGCTGGAGAGCAGCTATAGAAAAGGTTCTGAATCACTGTATAGGCATGAATGAGACACCACAGAGGAGTCTGTGGCAAGGAGCAGCATTTCTGTTGTATGCCTCTTTACACAGAAAAAGCCTTCTGAAGAGACAGTCTGTCTACAGAGGAGAAGCAGAATTAATCACTCAGTTTCACTACTGGGAGAGGGAGAAAAAAGATTAAGGTACAGCCAAAGCACATGGCGAGCAGAGAGCTGCTGCACTAAGGTCCAGTGCTGCCCATACAGACCAGTCTCTCCACTCCTAGTTGAGCCTTATGAGCCTGCAAAGGGCAGTGGGGATGGTATGGGCTGCTTGTTTAAAACGAGAATAAAGTCGAATGCTTGTTAATAGAGAGGTTGGTTAGGAGAGACATCCAGAACTAACAATATAACAGAGTTTTAGTCACAAAGCGGCCGAAGTGTGGAATCTAGAGTTGCCCATTACCCTTTTTATATTCTGGTCTCTACATGCAACGACGTAGGAGGGGGATCACATTCTTGAGCCTGCCTACCTCTTCACACTGGATTTCTGACCTTACGTCATACAGTGGAAACTGTATTTTTACAGTAGCAATTCTTAAGCTGAGCTCTTACGCCTTTGTGTTTGCATCTCTACACCAACTATCTGTCAAAGTATTGTAATTCTATGACATTATAGCTAATGGAATTAGCAAACGCGACAACTGGAGGCCAAGCTCCAACTTTCATTGTAATCCCCATTTCAGCTGCTGCTAACATTAGCTCACCCAGATGTTACAACTGGAAACTTTGCATGTGCAACTTAAAGAAAGTGCTGAGCTAATTTTGTTCAAACTTCTCAAGTGTTGTAGATCTTGCCGAGATCTAAAAAAGAAAGCAAAGTTTGAAGAAAATTTGTACAGCAATGTTAAAGCGATGAGCTTTCACAACTTTCCCCCTCACTCAGACATTGGTTAGAAGCTGTTGATGTGCATAGGTGCAATCAGTGTTCCCTCTTTTCTCTCTGCGATAGCACTGCGCTCTCTGTAAATGGGGATAACTTGATGGAATCCCAATCGCTCAGTTTTATTTTATACTGAAAAAGACTTGAGAGCCAGAAAGTAAGTGTCTGTATTTCACTCTTCTGAGAATTTGCTTTTTGTAATTTTTGCAATAAATATTGTTTTGGATGTTGAATTAAACTAGTTAAAGATTTTTACTGGACCTTTGAAGTGTGTGTTGGCTTCATCGTTTACATAAACTGAGACGTTCTAGGGAAAAAAGGCTAGATTTTACTTTGCATCAAGAACTCTTGAAAAGATGGAAATAGGGAGTTCAAATGTTGGGCTAAATTCTCTCATGAGACGTGTTTATATTGCAATAGTAGTTAAGACTGGAATATTTTTTTGGTGAGAATGAACTCTGCCTAGGAACATATGCAGAAATATAAATAACTAGAAAAGTTGATGCAGGATTTCCCACAATTTTTTTTTTAAAGTATTAGGGTCATGAGACAATAATTGGCACCAAATACTGGGAACACTTAAAATCCAACTAGATAAAATATTCACACTAAGTACATATTACACCATTGGCAACAAGCAAATAAAAGAAATCCAACCACCACCCTAAACCTCTGGGATAAGCATTACATATAATTAATAATAAAGCCTATATTTTTCTCTATTCGTGAGTTATGCATTTTCTCTCACTTTGCTGCTCCAATGCAGAAAAGAAGTACAAAATAAAATAAACTCCAACATGTAATACAGAAAGCAAAAAAGTTTAATTGAGCTGCATAAAGAAGTTTTCTCTGAGATTACATATAACAAGAGCTTAAAGTTACAATGCTTCTGTGATCACTAGTTGACAGAAAAAGTATTGAGTTCAGTTTTAAAATATTTCATTTACTTCCACAGTTCTAATCATTACATTTATCCTGCAAACCATGAAATCAAAACTACCAGACTGCTTAAATAGTGTATGAAAAAAAATTGGATCAATATAACAGCTACAGAGTTCATAGGACAGAGGCATAAAAATAATATAAAAAAGACAAGAGTTAAAAATCCTACTGCAAGAGTATTGACTGTAATAAAAGAGAAGACATTAAAACCAGCAGTTTGTTAGGTGCCAATACATAATAAAACCCATAAGACAGGCAACGAATGATGCTAAGTTCGGGAGAAAGAGTCTGTTTCCAGGGAAGAACTTCCTGACAGACACCACAACAAAGCAGCATGAACGGTGACTGTGTGGTCCCCTTCTTGGTAATAAATCAAGCGTCAAAGATTGATCTGCAGTTAATAAGAGGCCTAAGCCTTCTCCAAGGATTTGTAGTACTCTGTCAGCACAGTCCAGGCTTTGGGAGCCATGAAACCTTCAGGAGGGTTTTGTCCTTCCCGAGCCAACTTGCGCATGCGGGTTCCTGATATAAACTCAAAGTCTTCATGGCTAAAAATGTAAATAAAAAGAGAATGTAAATTTAAAAGATGGAAGTTATAGCTGAGACTGATCTTACCTCCTCCTTTTTTTGATAATGACTTTATACTACTTTCATAAAACCCCACCTTGGAGTGTGATATTTGAGAACACAACTGTGGTTTCAGACATGCTGCTAATGAAGAATACCAGAAAATCCTGAAAATAAATACACCCTATAGAATATACATATATATTCTTAAGATAAATAAGAGGTATGTGTGTATGTCTGCACATGCTCAAGATAGATAGTTTCATCCTGGTTCACCGCCTATCTTCCTACAGCTATAATTCCTAAAGATAAAATTCAGCAGGAGAGATGGAAAATTGAGAGCAATCAGGATTATCTATCATCATCTATCTACTCAAGATCAACATCCTACAGCATTTTAAACACCAAAGAAGGCAATAGTAATCCAGTCAGAGTGGGTGACAAGAATGAAAAATCCCAAGAGTTCTAACCAGATAAACTACTTTCTCTTCATCAGAGTTAAACACAGTCAAAAACAAAGACACAATGTCAGAAAATCCACCAAGTGTTCCTAAGCAAAAGTGATTTATTGTTAAATTAAATACAGCAATTTTACTTACTTCATTTATTCAATTTGCAACATGTATTTGTTACTCATTCTTCCCTGGTCTGTTTGAAATAAAAGCCAAATACTGACCTCACATGCACATGGTTCAGACTGAAACAAATGAGAACCAAGTGTGTGCATCAGAGGGCAGAGTTTAGCTTTAAGTGCTAAACCATGCTTAGTATGAGCTGGAGGTTAGCAAGGTATAGAAAGCATTCCACAGTCCCGTTTCACAATGCATACCATACAAGCTGTTAGCAGCACAACTTTATGATTTGAATTGTAGTCTGGTGCAGAACTGTAAAGCCTAGAATGATCTTCCTGCTCTCAGTAGTGTTGATGCCCAGTTTGTGGAAACAAAGGAGAAAAAAAAAATATATATATATAAACAAAGGAGAAAAAATATATATATATATATAAACAAACATCAACTACACAGAACATGTAACACACATCAGATAAGAAAACTTAACTGAACTATTTTTGTAAAGGGAGGGTACTGGAACGGAGAAAACGTGTGCTCTGAATTAGACTGAAAAATAGGGAACATTCATCAAGTTTCTTCCCCAGCATAGATAGGACTCTGGTGTCTATCAACCTCTCAATAACTGTTTTGGAAAGAGTTTTGTCCTATCTACACAAGCAGCTGTTTTCTACAATAGTTTGCAGGAGAAGGCACCCAGGTTAATTTCCTAGTGTAGTACAGAGTTTACAGATTAAGTCAGCTGTAGGGGAATGGACTCCCCACATTCTACTCTGTGGGGTGTTAATTCTGAAGCTTGCGCACAATTTATATGTCAAAACTTAGCTGTTTACAGGCAGGGAATGGGGTGGGAATTTGAACAGAGGCTCAAGTTCCCAGAAGGGATCAGAAGAGGGTACCAGCCTTTGGACTTAAAGAGACTCACATATGCTATTTAAGTGCCTCTCAATAAAGGCATGGTCTATTTGACCTCTTCCTGGTCCTGTCTGAATAACAGCATCCCTAAGAAGAAGCCAAATAGAGCACAGACCTGAAGACTTCAAGCAAGATATGTCAGATGGCTAAGAGCCTCTGATTAGAGAATTATAGGGAATATTATAAAGTCATCTAGGGGTCCATGCTGCATTAAAAAGTTTTAATTTTTTAAGAAACTGGAATAAGTTTTAATATCTAAAAAAGATTTACACAAATCTTCATAAAATTAAAATTTGGTTTGGTCAAGGAGTTATTCCTCCTCTTCCTCACTTTTCTTTTTTACTCCAGCAAACATTTTCTTTTATAATGCATGGCTTTTCTTAAAGCCAGTGGGTCAGTTTCTCAGCAGCCAGCATAAATAAATTTAGCTAAACTGACAAATGAAACTATTCTGATTTAAACCTGCTACTGATCTCATCCAATAATGTTTGTTTAGTCCTTGCATAGGGTTTGGTTTGAAGTAGTATGTGTTGCTAAAAAGTTTTCCACTTTAAAACTGAAAATACTATAAAAGTAGCTTTAATTGTTCAACCATTCACGATCTGACATAACGATAAAGATCAGATCTTCGTTGAGTATTAGCAATGGAGGATGTAACTAGCAAGAAAAGGAAGCCTTGTCCAATACCATTACTGAAACTATGATTCAATAAGACCCAGCATTCTTCTGAAATAACACATATTGGTAAAGGTAATTTGCTTCCAAGTGAAAAGGTGCTACTTGAGAAAAACAAATCTCTTAAACAACGCAGATCAAGGAGGAGTGCTAAGGAGGACTCCTGGATGAGTTAGGAATTCGTGGGCTCATTGCTCTGTAGAATGGGAAATTGGGCAGGAATAAAATGGGGTGAGGAAAGGGAGAGAAAGACACCTTTGCCATAAGAGGACTGTTGATGTTGGGTGGACACTTCAAGGGCACCTGATTTCAAAAAAGACTTCGGGTAGGTCTACACTACCCGGTAGTTCGGCGGCAAGCAAATCGAACTTCTGGGTTCGACTTATCGTGTCTTGTCTGGACGAGATAAGTCGAACCCGGAAGTGCTCGCCGTCGACTGCGGTACTCCAGCTCGGCGAGAGGAGTACCGCGAAGTCGACGGGGGGAGCCTGCCTGCCGCGTCTGGACCAAGGTAGGTTCGAACTAAGGTACTTCGAACTTCAGCTACGTTATTCACGTACTTAGAAACTTAAATATCATTTAAATTAAGGGAAATTAGGCTCAGGGCCGGCTCTAGGATTTTTGCCACGCCAAGCAAAAACAATTTTGGCCGCCCCGTTTTTTTCTTACCCCACCCCCGGCCCAGCCTCAACTCCGCCCCTTCCCCAAATCCCCAGCCCTGCCTCCTCCCCCCAGGCTCTCAAGCCTAGGAGGGAGGGAGGGAGAGAGAGAAGCAGCGCGTACGCCGCAGCCACTCGGGGTCTCCCCCTCCCTCCCAGGCTCTCAAACCCGGGAGGGAGGGGGAAATCAGCTGTTTCGCGCGCCGCGGCCGCTCAGAATCTCCCCCTCCCTCCCGGGTTTGAGAGCCTAAAAGGGAGGGCGAGCAGCAGTGCGCGAGCAGCAGCAGCGGAGGTGACTTAGGGAGGCCGAGGCACCTTTTTAGGGGCGGCATGGCCCGCGCCAGAATACCGCCCCTAAAAATGTGCCGCCCCAAGCACCAGCTTGTTTTGCTGGTGCCTAGAGCCGGCCCTGTTTAAGCTCCTAAGTACTTAAATGAATTTTGAAAATAGGACTTAGGCACTTCTGAAAATTGTATCTATGGGATGGAATTAGCTTTGGCTGAGCCAAGTTATTTTACAATATATGCTTCCACAAATTATTTAAAATTATTTTCCTGCCAGTTGTGTTTCAGACTGTAGCACTGATGTGATGGAGTACCTTTTACATTTTACAAGAGTAAAGGTTACCCACAGCCTTTTAGAAATGGCCAACAACAACAGAAGAGAGAGTGTGTCTTCAGTTTATTTCCTCCTTTGTCTGGTAACATTTAAACTATTTTTGTTTTGGGGAGCAGCTATATGAATTGGTTGGTACAGCAGGGAATTTCATGAAGGATCTGCACAAGGATTAACATCTCCACTTACATTTACAATTTGTGGAGCAACAGCAATTAAACACACATTCCAAAAAGACAAGAATAAATCAGCTATGAAAACTGTCAACATGGCGTGGGAAACAGAAAACTTGATCTTCAAAATATGCACCAGTGAGATGATGAAAGTTTCTCCAAAGCATACTGTACTGGAGCTCTGTTATACTGAAGCTGTAAAATCACTCCATGAGAGTGCTATGAAATATGTTTTGTGAGTGGGCATTGGAGTTTGGGGTATATTGCTCTATTAAACCCATAGCGGGGGTGGGGACGAGGGAGGGAGAAGAAAAAGCTCCATAGTATTCCTCATGCCTCCATTGTAGCTGAAAGGGCATTTGAAGGTCAACAATGCCCCAGATTTATAGCCTGATGTAAGCCTGAGACCCAAAAACAAGTACAGTCTGTTGCAGCTCAGTTCTAAAGAACTAGACAGTTGAATAAGGCGGAAATGGCAATAAGTCAATTAAAAAGACAAGATGGATAGAGAGAGAAAGAGCATTTTACATGTGGAAACCTATATTCTATTAGGATGCAAGCAGAGAACAATTTGGTGCTGTCCACTTGGTCTTCACATTACTCATGTTGTATATCAGTAACACAACAGGACTATACCAATAATCACTATATAAAAATCAAACAAAGTATGTGATAATTGACAAACCAGACAAAACAGATTAACAGTTCATTATTTCCTTTCATTTTTCAAGACCAAAGTTCTTATCACTCCAGTAAAATGGGCTTCTCTCTCTCTTTAAAGATGACACGTTTAACCATTCAAGAATTTTTTGTATTATAGTAGCACCAAGAGGCCCCAGCAGAGATCAGGGTCAATGTCGTGCCCTGCTATTAGCTTTATATACAAAAAATAGGAAGACAGTCACTAACCCAAATAACTTACAGTCCACATAGGCAAGACAAAGGGTAGGAGAAAGGAAATATTACCTCTGTTTTGAGATGGGGAATTGAGGCACAGAAATTAAGGGACTTGGCCAAGGTCACATAGGAAGTCTGTGGCACAGTCAGGAACTGAACCCAACTCTCCAGAGTCTCAGTCTCTGTCTGGTGCCTTAACCTCCAGGAAAGTGTCTGCTCATAGCAGAATGATAGCAGGCTACTGAGAAAAGTGCAATGTTTAGTTTAAACAAATTGAAGTTTTCCCACACACTTTTAAAGTGTTTAACATTTTAAGTTTCCCATTTTACATTGGCAGCACCAAAAACCATTATCAGGGCCAGCAGAGCGGGATAAAGAAGCATCCTAGTTCATCAGCAGACCAGTTGAGAACAAAATAATCCTTGTATATGTAGATGCACTAGCTTCATGCACATTTTAGAGAGGACAAACAGCCTGCTCTGGTAGCTGTATTTATGGGCTTCCTATGGCTAAGAGGATCTCACAGAGTTCTGTCAAGACAGAATTATTAATTTTGCCAAAGATTGCTGTGGATTCTTTCGATTGTTAAACAAATTTCCTTTCTTCATAGAGTTTCTTCTCAGCCGCAGTCTGTGGCTGAATTTTACAGGAAAGTCTTCTTGCGAAGACTTGAGAATCTGTCCTCTCCCAAACAATGAGTTATTTAGCTGCCAACTCCAGCCTTGCAAAGTTACACATGACTGAAGTAACTAACTGTGTAACAGCTGCCTTTTCATCGTTATCATCATAGTATATTTTTGGCTAGCAAGCAGATTTTGCACCCACCTAGTGCACTGTTATGATTACAACTCATTTGGAAGGTTTCTCCAAATGTCTTGGTTGTATTAATGTTAACGGATTCAGTTATCAAGGGGTAAGTTTGATAAAATTTTATATTAAAGGTTAGGGGGTTAGCACAGGACCATAGTGTTGTACCATCTTGGTTTCTGCATGCAATAGTTCACTGAAGTAGAATGTACTCTTGTGGGGAAATTCTACAAAAGTTCAGCAAAAATGCTCAAGTTTTCCTGCAGAAAGGTAGGTAAGATCAGCTATCCAGAAATGCAAAGAAATGGTAACACAGCATGCTAGACAATTCTGCTTTGATCATTTGACAAAACGAAAAGCACAGAACCCATTTAAGTCTGTTTTCCCTCCGCAATGCCAAGCTCTCTGAGACCCAGGTGGCTGGCTTGCATTCTCTTTGTAAAAGGATTTAAAACTCAGCTTCCTAAGCACCTCTTTTTCTGAGAGTACTTCACCATACAAACATTTCTCCATCAGATGAAATGGGAGTTCTGCTGTCACATTTCAGTTTTGCTGTCTGTTGCTGGTTCCCTTTCACTACAACTAAAGAAAACATTTCTCAGTTGCTTAATTCTCTAGTTCCTAGCCCCACATTTGTAGTTTTTTTACTCTTTACATTACCCTTTCCATGAACACTTCTCTTGACTTGCCCAATGTTTGGTTGGCTATAGTACTCAATATTAATTGCTACTGTATCTATTGCAAGGACCCTTAAATAGTAGGTTAATCTACTGGCCATGCCTGCATATTTATTCAATGCACTAGCAGTGACAGTACCTTATCAGTATAATATATGGATAGTCTCCCCATGCACTATCCCATGTTACAAGTGGGTAGACTCAATGATTTAACTTTCTTGCCATTGCTAACATTGCTGATTTAGGACCACATATACATGATATCACTATACTCTGACATCTTCAAGTAACAATATATTTACGTCATTAGTTTGACATTACTATAAAAGCTTGTAGTTTATTTTATACAAATACAGAAACATTTAGGTGCTGTTAGTAACTTTTCAATATTAAGTAGTTCTACTGCTCTCAGTTATTATAAACAGCACCAGTCCAAACTATGTACGTAATCCCTGTCTCTAATCCCATGTTAGCTTTTAAAATTAAGCCTTTTAAAAAAATAAACAGGGGTAAAATTTACAAGAGGGACTAAGTCCCATGTTCAAAAATCACTTAGACACTTAGGGCTTGGCTACACTTGCGAGTTACAGAGCAATAAAGGAGCCCCGGGTGCCGTAGCTCATCCCCGTCCACACTGGCAAGGCACATAGAGCGCTCTGACTACCACCAGCTTTGTAGCCGTGGACTCCACTTTGGCGAGAGGAATAACGTTTGCTGCGCCTTGGCTACAATGCACGGGCATCAGTGTGAACAAGGTGTTGGGTTACTGCACTCTGATCGGCCTCTGGAAACGTCCCATAATCCCCTTAAGTCAAGTGGCCACTCTTGTCATTGTCTGAATTTACAAGACAACATGCTGACATGCTCTCAGCCCCCCAAAACCCCACTCTCTCTCCCCCCACATACACACAACACACTCCCTGTCACACTCCACCCCACCCCCATTTGAAAAGCACGTTGCAGTCACTTGCATGCTGGGACAGCTGCCCATAATGCACCGCTCCCAATACTGCTGCAAGTGCTGCAAACGTGGCCACACCAGTGCGCTTGTAGCTGTCAGTGTGGACAGATTGCAGCACTTTCCCTACTGCACTCTCCGAAGGCGGGTTTAGCCCACAGCGCTCTACATCTGCAAGCGTAGTCATGCCCTAAGGCCTCTAAGTATAAACACTTACTACAGCGACCGAAGGGGTTCTTTCATCCACTTCTCTGAGAGCCGGTAGGTAGGTCGATGGAAGCATTCTTCCGTCAACCTAAAGTTGTCTACATTGGGGCTTAAACTGGTTTAATTACATTGCACAGGGCATGACATTTTCCCCAGCACTGAGCGATGTAAATAAGCATGCCTAACTCTGCAGCATAGACCAGCCCTTAGTTTCACTGCAAGTCAATGGGACTTGGGCGCCTTAGCACCAACAGCACTTTTGAAAATTACTCTAGCTCAGTAGACACCCAAAACTACTTAACCATCCCAAATTGTTAGTTAAGCATCATACAGGGCCCAGGTACAACATGGTTATATGGGCTGTCCAAATGCCTGCATAATTTCCCTCTGTAAATTTGCCATATAATCCTTGTCAGCATTGCACAAGTACTCTCCCTGCTGCGAGGCTGAACATAGCAGATCTGTCCACCTTTTCCTCTTCCCCACCCCC